TGTTCACGTGCCGGCCATGAGTCGGTCATGCCGTAGTTCACTGCGTGTGCGCTGGGCGCCTGCGCAGTACTACGAAAGCTACGTGACTCTCCACCAGGCACCAAGGTGTGGCTTCTCTGGCCGGCGCCATTTTGGGTACGGCATGTGGCCAGTGCATACGGATGCGGCTGGCAACATCTCCCCTTTCTTATACAATAGAAAAATAAGCTGGTATGGGCCTGTCTTAGGTTGTAGACTCAAGGCGCACGATCCGTCATAGGGAGGCTGCGTAGCTTCACATAGTCCCTGTCTTAGACCGATAATTGTCTGGGTCTATCTTACCCATCATGGGCTACAACCACGGAGGTTGTAAAGAGCAATGTCTCAATAAGGCAGTTATACGAGCGACTACCCTCTCGCGTGCAATGGACAAGTCCTGCGAAGTGCAAGGGCTAGTCGGGCTCATCATGCTCGAACTCAGTGCAATGCCATAATGGCCTGAGGTGCAGGAGCCATGATGTCCATGCTCTTAACTAAGCCTGTTGAAGCATGCTCAACCATACCATGGGGGAGTCACCATTCTGCATGGCTAGTAGGGCTTGATGTATTGCCACACAATTTCGCTGAGCGTGGTGTCTCAGATGACACAGGCAAAAAAGGCATAGGGCACAGCCTGCACACAAGAGCAGAATCAGCACAACCACTCCCGCCCATTATTTAATATGGGAAGTGATGTTCCAAATCCAAGTGGCCAGGGTTTTGGCAACAACAGGGTCCGCCCATGTAGAATTAATCTGGACAATGGCAATTCTCAACTCAGAGTGTAGAATATCAAATTCTCTTGTCCAATTTCCTAAAAGATAGGAAGAAAGCTGGCGAGAAAGATTAGCAGCCCTTGAAACATTTTGAAAAGGAATAGAAGTAATACATAAACCTTGCATACGCCATTGACAACCTAACTGTCCTATTTCAAGTAAGATATCTAATTGCTCTTGAACTAAATCAACTCGTTGATTGAGAACCATTAAACCTCCTTTGAGATGACCATTTATAAGAGACTGGTCATGTAATGCTATGGCCACAGAAGCACTTAGATTGTTCAAGGCAGTAGCTGTCTGAATGCCAGTGGTCAGGGCCACCGCTGCTGTGGCTGATGCTGCAAGTGCCACGGCAACCGCAGTCACTATTGCCGCAGTTATGCCAAAATCTCTCTTCTGGCGATAGAGCGTCATGGCAGAGGGGGCTTCTATAGGCCAAGGTATCCATCTAGGTAGGGCCGTTACAACAGCTAAATCCCAACCTTCAGTGGTATTCCAGCATTGTGCTAGCACACAATAATCTTGTGAACAATTAATCTCTTTTCTATTCACATCCTTTACCTCCTTCACTAATGAAAACAAAAACGGGCTAGTCACACAGACCGGGGTGCGGGAGAAGGGAATGATTTTACCAGAAACATTTTGGTGTATGGACCATCAAAATTATTAGCATCCCGCTGAAAACGGGTCGTTGTCACGGCACCGCCCAATAACATGGAAAAGGGCTGGAGATCTGTGCAGGAGCCATTTAGGCCATATAAGAGCCAGTGGTCCCAAGGGTTGGCAATAACCGGCAGGGCTGGATTCTGCCAAGGATATGGATAGGAAGAGGAATGACTCTTATCCCAGGCACCTATGCAGGGTGAAAAGGCGAATTTGGACTGTGCCCACATTAACAAAGAATTCTGACAGCCCGTCTAGGGCATAAGATTATCTGGGTCGCACCTGGCGCGGCAAAAAGGCATCCATTTGGGCTGGACGGGGGGATGCCAAGTACCATCTTATAGGCTGGCCAGGTACCATTTATCCAGGTGCCGTTGGCATATTCTAATTGCACTGAAGCAACTGTAGGAGGAGGCTTAGAGTTAGGATCCAGGGCATCAAGCAATCTCTCCAACTCATATAGCCAGGGTCGTACGGGCTCATCTAACCACACAGCCTCTTGGCGTTGCAAAAACATACAAGAACAATTATTTACAGAAACACTAAAATTATCAGGAAACAAAGCGTATCCTGTAGGGGGAATAAAAAATTATTCACATTTTCCTTAACACTATCATAAGGGAGAAAAGGTAAATCCAAAGAAGCATTCGTAGTAAAAAATCGAGGAAACACTCGGGCTGAATGGGTGACCTTGGTAAGGGTCGTGGGAAAACACTCAAAACCCCCCATCGTGGATCAGCAATCATGGTCCTCACCGATATCATACAACCATTAGTTGTACTATCAACCATATTTGCATTGGGCGGGGCATCATTGTCCTGTGGGACTGCAGGAAGAGCTTCTGATTGCGGGGCTGCATGAATCTTCACCACATCAGATCCTCGGGCAAGCGCTCCAGCAGTTGTGGAAATGTCAGAAGGCGGCGATGGGCAGGAGCGAGTCAATCGAGCTGGAACCCAAACCGGAACTGGGCTTCCTTCTATGTCCTTCACTGACTTGCACTCATTGGCCCAATGTCTACCTTTGCGGCACCACAGGCATATCCCAGGAGGCTTATTGCTAGGCCCCGCACGGCATTCTCTTTTCATATGCCCTGGTTTACCACACTGAAAGCACACGGGTGATGTTCTCTCCCTATGATTAGACCTCAAAATGGCGGCTGCTAGTCCATGAGCTGTTAAGGGGCCTCCTGTGTCCCTACAAATCTTAAGCCAATCTGCAATTCCCCTGGATTTACGATCCTTAAGTAGGGATCTACATTCTGCATTACACTGCTCCCAAACTATCTGCTCTATCATTCTAGTGCTCTGATCTCCTTCTCCAAAGGTCCTTTCCACGGCCTGCATTACACGTGCCACAAAATCAGCAATGGGCTCATCCGGCTCCTGTTTAACCTGTGTGATGCCCAATTTCTCTTGCCCTTTGAGTGAAAGGGCCTTCTATGCCTTTATAGCTGCAGCAGAGATTTGGGTATACACTGGCCATGGATAGCTATTTTGATCATCAACGTATTGGCCTTGTCCGCAAAGCATATTATAAGTCCACGTCAAAGCTTCCCCCCACGCCGTTGATTTGCGCAGGCGGTCTCAGCCAAAAGCTCCTGCCATAGGCCCTTCCAATTTAGATATGATCCCATATTAGGGAGAACAGCCTTCACCACAAATTGCCAATCAGAGGGGGTCATATTTATTCCCCCCATACGTTCTAACAGGGACAAAGTGTAATTGGCATGAAGACCATATTGCTTTACAGACATGGCCAATTCTCACACTAATAATGCAACTACCTGTCTGTAAACTCTTTCCCATTCTTCTTCTAAGACGGGGAATTTATTTTGAAGTTCCCGACGTGTGGCTGGATCAATGAAGGAAGAGCCGGCACCACAACTCATGGGCGGGGCAGATGGCATCACAGGAGGAGGAGCCATTAGTGAAATGGCTCCAGAGTCCTGAGGCCATGGGCCGAGCGTGGCCGGTGCAGTAGCACTGCCATTTTCTTTCTTCTCCTTTTCTGATCCTCATCTGTTTTCAGCGGGTTGTTTGCGTTCTAAGCGCCTATCCTGCTTGTATCCTTCCTCAGCATTGGACGTCTCCGAACTCGATGAGGAAGAGCCCACCTTCAGTATCTCTAAATCTGGAAGTGGGTAAAGAGGGGTCTTATCTGACAACTCCTCTGAATGCATAGTTAGCTTCACCTTTCTTTTTTGTTTCATACCGGTTCTCCTCTCCCGCTCTGTTTCTGAGAGACTATCCTGGGCAGAAAGAAGGGCTTTGTCACTCTCTCTGACCGCTTCCTTACAGCGGGCATCATCTAGACAAGCTCGAATTAATTTCCAGATCGGCATGACCCCCGGGGCTAACGTTCCATCATCCTTGCCCTTCTGTAAATCTTGAAGGAGTTTATCCCATGATCGAGGTGTTAGGGATCCGGAGACAGCATACCAGGAAGCATGCCGATCCAACCTCCCTGACAAATGTCTCAAGGGTGCGCTCACTGACTTTCAGATTTCGAGCCTTCAAAACCGTCTGTGAAGATTTCACCAGAGAGATCTGTGCGCCCATGTCTATAAGCAGGAGCGGCGGCTCATACACCTCTGTCTTATGCTCCCAGTCACCCGAAATTCCTCCCTCTCAGAGCTCCTTACCTGTTTGATGGCCGCAGTTCTGACTTCATCTCATCCAAAACGGGAGTGCCCCTCCAGGTCCCGGGTTTCGGCACCAGTTGTCACGCCCACGTGTCCTATTGTCCCGCAATAAGAGGCTGACGCGAGTGAAGTCTTCTGCGGTAGTCTTTATTGTGCACACCAAGATGAGGAAGAGGAAAGGGCCCCGACCCCGGCAGGCTGCCTGCTCTTATGTGCTGACCGGCTCCGCCCTTGCCTATGATAGGTTAGTGTCATGATCATGCAGGGTCCTGGGCGACCGGATTCGCCAGTCCCCAGTGTTCACGTGCCGGCCATGAGTCGGTCATGCCGTAGTTCACTGCGTGTGCGCTGGGCGCCTGCGCAGTACTACGAAAGCTACGTGACTCTCCACCAGGCACCAAGGTGTGGCTTCTCCGGCCGGCGCCATTTTGGGTACGGCATGTGGCCAGTACATACGGATGCGGCTGGCAACATCTCCAGCTCCCTGCTGTGGCCTGGGAAAGGAGCCAAGGACGGCCCAAAGCCTTGGGATCCTGCCCCTGTGTGGGAGACCTGAAGGAAGGTCTTGGCTCCTGGCTTTGGATCAGCTTGGTTCCAGCCATTGCCATCAGTTGGGGAATGAATCACCAGATGGAAAATCTTCCTCTCTGTAGATCTGACTTTCCAATGAAATTAAAAACAAATCTTAAAAAGAAAAAAAAGGGAACACATACTTGACTGAAGAAATGTTCAGCTTTATATTATACAAAGGAATGAAAGTGAAGTAAGGATCAGTGTCCTATATGCTTTACTTTGGCACAAAGAAACATTACCTTTAGAATTAGTAATAATTTGACATTGAATATGAGATTGTTTGTTTTACAATTCAATGAAACAACTTTGATCTTTTTTTACAGTTTCAAGTTGTGCTAGTAATCAGTCTACATGTGGTAAATGATCTTATCAAAGTATAACTATCTATACTCGGAATACATGTAAGTTACCTGCAAGTTATTTTTGGTTCAAAAATCATTCTTAAGATTAATATGCTTCCCTCTAGTTATGAATACATGAAACAAATGTGCATTTTACTGTATTCTTCCCTATATAAGATAATATTGTAGATATCATCAAATGTTTCCCCCTCCCATACCAGAAAGATATTTAGAAACTTAAAGCAGCAAAGAAATATTCGTCTGTATATGGGCATCACTCTTGCATTCACATTTTAAATGTCGCATGAGCTGAAATGCATAGCATAATGAACTGGAAACATACCATTACAGTGCAGTTTTATAGCTATAACATCCTTGACAAGTATAAGACCCTGAAAAATTGAAAAGCATATAATAAATTCACATGGTAAGTAGCTCCTGAATTCATTGTTAAATAGCTTGTATCCTGTGATCACATGCCGCCCTCTCCTGATTCCTTCATGCAAAGTCACACGAGCAAAGTCATTTTGACCATATGCCTCTGAACATACAAGCCTCTGAACAAACATCTTGCATTTGATGACTCAAGTGTCTTCATAAGAAATGGCAGTTTTCAAAAGAAAACTCACATTAAGCTTTTGAAAACTGTTATAGAAGTGTACCATGGTTAGCAGGCATTTTAGTTTCTGTTAAACAGTGAAATATTTAGGCAGCATAAATGAAAAAAAATGTTATGAAAACTTTTTCTCACTAAGTACGTGTAGTTCAAGTCAGAAGGCCCTACCTCCGGATTCATTGTGGGTGTGTGCCTCTGTATGTATGAATGCTACTTGATTCAGAATCTTCTAAAGTCTAAATGTATAGAATGTAATCATGTAAACTGTAAATGCTTATTACTTCTCATTCAACAGTGTGATTTAGAGCAAATTATCACCAGACCTCATCAGCTTGGACCAAGTTGCTGATTGCCTATAAAATCAACTTCATACAATAGGAAAATATTCTACTGATTTTCAGCACTGTTCAGCTATTATCTGCAGTCAGAATAAAGCCCTAAGTCATTTCTGCACGTGAAATCACTGTAAAATGCAGGCCCACGTCCATAGAGGTGACGGTTGGGATGACTCTGAAGAAAATGTTTCTACATTGGATACTCCTACAATTTCTTTGTAATTTCTCCAATTTCCAGTTTGATTTCTTGCAGACTACCCAAGGAGGTGCAGGTGTGACTACTCTCTGTGATCAGGGAATTGGTGCTCTTGCTGATGTAAAAGAGGATAAAGGATTGCCTACAATTCAGAGGTGATGATGTGATAATTAAAGCATGTCTGAAATGCACAGCCAACCATTGTCTTAAAAAGCTATTATCTTCTGTGATAATAATAATAATAAAAATAATTCTCTGGTAAAGAATGACCAATGTGAAATGGTTTTTGATTTGATAGTAAAGATGGAGACCAGTTTCAATATACATGCAAGATTGTCACTTTGTCATTTACCTATTGCTTTTCTCCTAGTATTGCAAATATGTAGTCCTTCACCATTGACCACACATTCAAAATATGCCAATTGCTTATTGAGGAAACCCATTGGATAAAGAGATGCTACTAAATAAAATTGCCCAATGCTCCATATTAACATTGCAAATGAGAAAGTTAAGCACAAAAGGTCCATATATGGTTAAGTAGTTGAATTTGATGAGTTTTTGCATTCATGGATGTTCTGCAATAATTCTATTAGATAAATAAGTCCTTGCAATGAAGCAGTATTCCTGTCTCATTTTGCCTTTCAAATGAAGTACAGTTTAATTGCAGTAAGCTCCTAGCATGACATATTCTGGAATGTAACAAGTGTGTGCAGTATAGTTTTGTGAAATTAGACATGAAGATTGCCACAATTAAAACACTGTGTTGGAGTTATAACAAAACTGAGAGGCTGTGTGTTTAAGACACTTTATTTTTTTCAAGGTGCTATAATTTGTTGCTGTTGTCGTTGTTGATGTTGATGTGGCTGTTCTAACTCATACTGGTTGTGGACCTTATTTCACGACTTCTCACATAGGGTAATGTATAGTGATGGAGTACTGGGGTCTGTCATATACAGACGTGGGGGGTACAAAGGAAAATGCATCCTTGCATCCAGATGAAAGATTGATTCTCAATGAAACTGTTGGACATGTGTAGACAATGGGATGCTGGACTGTCTGACATTGTCTGTACCAATAATGTCGGGATACACTTAAATTAGGGACTGATTGAATTATGATTTCTTATGAAGGACTACACTATTGTAACAAATTGGGAAAAATCTGATGGGGGTGGGGTTTTGGGGGAAATCCCAACGTATACAAAAATGTACCACATAATTCAAAATTCAAAATAAAAATATTTTTAAAAATGTAAAAGGCATCTTACAGAGATAATAAAGCACTCTCTAGCAAAAAAAAAAAAGCTCTATTTCCATGTATTTTCATTGGGTTGCAATAATGGTATTTAAATGTCTTATTGTCTTTATCTATATATACAACTTCCGTATCAATTGACTTGTTTGAAGACTGAAATTTCTGTCTATAGGCTCTCAAAACACCTTCTAAAAATCAGCTATGTTGTTTTCTGATATCTGATGAGGTCCCTACCGATGATGTTTCAACATTCCTCATTTAATCCAAAGACAACTTTGAAGTCACCGTTGTGTGTTATACAAGCATGCTTTCTATCAGCAATCCACTTTCAAGATACCAACATTGGAAGAGTATCGGAAGGCAGTGGGTTGCTGCAATTTGTAACCTGAGGAGCAGAATACTCTTTGGAACATGAAATTCAGGGGCATAAATACTGATGAGCAAATTTGTTGCATGAAAATTCAATATACATATAAAACTATATATATTCCCACAAATTCCCATATATATATGACCAACTATGGGTGGTCTAGGCCATTTATTCAACTATGACAGTGATGGGAATGTAGATTTGTGAGCAGAGTAGCAGTGCAATGTTTCTCCATTCTCATCCAGGAGACAATTCACTGATCTGACTAAGCCACACAGAGAGAAGTAGGTAATGCTACAGCAGGGACCTGCAAGCTGAGGGGCAACTCTGGCTCTCAGCCCTGAGTTGAGGGATATGAGAACATAGTTTCCACACTAAAATTTTCTCTGCTGAACTGTTGGTAATTGACAGTCTCCTGAGGTTGTAATTGACCCTGCCTGGCTGGGATAAGCACATGCAGTTCCATACACAGTGTGTCCTCTGCCAGCGGTGGCTCATTCAGAGAAATGCTTACCTACTGTTTCATCTCTGCTGCTGCAATATGAAAATGAGCCCAACCTTCTGAGCAACGATAATAGAGTCATATACCCCATGAAATACAGTCACAGCTCTTCCCAAAGCCCTTCCTCCCCATTGAGATGTAAAGCTTGAAGCAAGTATAAATATGTTGTAAGGGACTGCAGCTAAACCACTCAACTTTTTGAGCTTACTCATTTCTTGCCAAATTTCCCACCCAGAGTTCCTGCTTCCTAAGTTTAAGATGCTTCACAAGGTTTTATCTACTGGATTATTCACAAAACTAGGAGAGTAAGGTAGATATTTACTCCAAACTTCCTGTATGTTAACTGAAAATTAGCCTAGCTTTATTGATGGAGTTAGTGATATAAAAATGTTAGTAGAACTGGGCCACAAAGCCTAAGGGTCCTCTGTTCAGAAGTATTTTGCAATCAGTTGTGAAATATTATCTCAAGTATAGTTATTTTACTGGCAAGAAATATTTTTCAGTTAACTAGGAAGTTATTTTCTGATTCTGATTTTTGTGTTCTTTATAACTTGAATATTTATTGATGACATAGTTTAGAAATATACCAAATGAAAAAATGCAACTCTGTGTTTTCCTGTGTGTCACAGATTTCTGTTATACATTGCTGATCAAAAATTGCCTGTGGGTACACAGAGATGACCCCACTGTATTCCGGATGGAGCACACCCAGGTGTTTCCCAGCAGCTTTGGAAGAGCCTCAATTTTGACATCTCTGAGGAGAGTGCCACACATCTCGACAACAGCTTGGGTGAGAGTTCCTTTATTGGGAGCCCAGGGAGAACATGTCAGGGCCTCAGTGAAATGTTTCTGGTTTTAGTGAGGAACCAATGACAAAGTTCCCAAGAGGTCATAGGAGCTGCTTACCCAGTGCCCTGGGGCACAAAGGGTGGGGGTGCAGGGCCCATGTCTCTCTCTGCTCTGTTACACAACCAGCAAGAGGAGCTTCCCATTGTCTTGGGACCAAAGAAAATGTATGACAAAATTTTTGATTTAACATAATTACTGATGAAAACTATAACACTATCCAAGACATTATATGATAATACTTCAGGTGAAAACATGGTTTTAGTAAATTTCATTTGACCTTCTATGTCTAAGGGTACCATGCAGATTGCTATGGAGACATAGAATTAAAACATCATTTTGTTTCAGTGCTAACAAATTTAAATTAATACATCCTCTCTGTATTGTAGGCATTTTCTACATAGTGTGGAAAAGTGTTATTGTATCACTGTAAAGTCATACTTTTCACTTCATTCTACATGAGTTTATGAACTGCTGTTAGATGTACTAAATGTGCTCTGCGGAAATGCAGTTGAGTGGCTCACAACGCTGCCTGTCTTGTATCTCTGCCACTTCATACTCTGCAGCATCTGAGGTAGCACTTGTCCAGTGCCCACCAAGGCAGCTAGTGAAGGATGACCTCATGAGAAAATAAGGCACTTAGTTTGAAATGTTATAAATTCTGCAGGACACCAAAGACTGTACTATCATTTACCAGTCATGTTACTTTTGGCAAATATTCTCTGACACTGTCAGTTGTATACCACATACGTGGATAAATGGAATGTATGCCTTTTGGAGATGATGTAGGGCAATATTTGTAAAAACAGATTTATTCAGCAAAAGTGCACATAGGGCTGAAACAAGTTCCGATGAGCCTAGAAACAAATAATTATCTATTATCTAT